AATGACATGTAGCTGAGTGAAACAAAAGTGCGAAAGCAATATAAGCAAAGCGGCTTGTATACGAGAATGACTTAAACAGTAAAATGACAGCAGACTGAAAAGTTAATAATGAAGTGTGCGATGGAGTTGAAGTGTTTGGTTGCAGCTGCACTAAACTGAGTTGAAGCTCCCACTCAAATATTGCTCCTCGCACTGTACAAAGGATGATATACGGCTCTGGTGTTCAAACAAAGAGAGGTTGTCTCAGGAGCTTTTAGCTTGTGGTACAAACCACAGGATAGTAGACAAAAGTCAGGAGTAGCATCATCATGATTACGGGTGATCAAACCAGGTTTATATACAAATCATTCTTTTCAGATGATGGAACAAGTGTACATAATTGGTTTGGAACCAGTTTTTCGACTTCGACTCCCTATCCTGCCCCTGAGATTTACCGTAGTGGTGACAACACCGTGTGAAGGTGATGAATGGGAACAAGCTATAAACACGAGGCTAGAGAACTTTTCGAGATGCAGAACGCAACACACTCATTCACAGTTACATCAGTACTATAGGATTATCACAAAATTTATTTGGCTTTATACATTAAAGTTATCATCTGTAAAACACTGTAGACTTACAGACTACTAAATACATTGAATAATGAAGTGAATATAAGTCCAACTGCGAACATAGATTTCATTTTAACCTTTGGGAAAGATATTACTGACTGATATTACTTACTAAGGACAACTCTCGATTAATGTTTTTGAATCGTTCTTCTTGTTTTTCTACAAAATATCAAAAAATACAAGTGAAAAAAAGAAACCTACCTAAACGCTTTTTAGCTGTACGATCAATAGCTGACTCCGTAACATCCCGTTGCTTTTCCACTTAGAAGTCACATTAGATATCTGAATAAGCTACTTACAACGTTTTGATTGTTTGTCTACTTCAGCCTTTAACTTCTGGTACTTTTCAGTCCTGTATACAAAAAGCCAAGTCAAGCCTAAAAACAAACATTTCAGTAAATACTCTATGACAAGCAGCGCATACCTTCTCCCAAAAATGCCGTAAAAAAGGATATACAAATAATTGAAAGTGTATCCTGTAGCATTTGTTCTTCACTATCGGATGGAAAACGAGAAGTGGAAAATCAAAAATAGATGCAGTGCAAGAGAAATATATATATTAAACAACATATATGAAGGCAAATCTGGTTCGTAAACGAGTTTAAAGCGAGCATAGCGACCAACGCATATAAAAGGTCGTTAATGTTGCAAAATTGTTTACTAACTAGAAAACAATGAATAATACCGCCAATTTCAACCACTGCATTTCTAGAAGACAGCAGTAGTTTTCCTCCTTGAAATATCCATTCAATTCATGCTAATATTAGCAAATATCCGTTCAATTTTGCATACTACGACCACCAAATTGTGTTGGACTCTGAAACACAGATCCAATATAAAGAGCTTTGGGGAAGACAACGCGATTATTTTAACGTAGTACTAGAAGTCTGATGCATAATATACATTTCCTAACACTGCCGACAGTGGCCAGACAGAATATCGGTGGGTGGTAAGAAGAACGATAAGGAGTTTCTTAATAACTAGTGATGTCAAATAAGCTGTCAACGAAGTCGGTTGCATTGAACTGCAATATCGAGATATGAATCTGGTAGATGACTTCATCAAACTGATTCCAAAGTGTCAGTATAATTAGATGTCATTCATTTTCAGTACTTTGAACGCCCCCAACTTCAATTCTTTCTCTCCTACTGGCACAGAACCGAAAATGGTTTCCAGCCAGTTACAGTAACTGTGACATTTAGATTACCTTCTAACGAGGCTGACAATGAGTCACGGACTCTTAATAAGAAAGTGCTAGGTAAGTACCTAAAATTAGTCATTAATTTCAAGATGTGACAATGGAACTCGTCAAACTGCCAATGAAGATCTTAAACATTGTGAGTAGCAACAGGAAGTCTTGATGGTAAACAAACCATTCAGCCGACGACGACTACACACTGGACATCCCAGTTGACACTTGCAGATGTTAGAAGCATCTTTAAGAAACTATAATTATAAGGAGATATTAGTGAGCTCACTTAATTAATCATCACTCTCCATAGCCGAGACGGTTAGCTTTAGAAGTTATGATGCACAATGTTTTGAAAACTGAAATGGGCTTGAAGTTTACAAGTCAGAGGACTATGACTAAGTCCAGTATTGTGCCTTATACTTTCCATAAAATAATCCGATGCACATTTCATTTGTGAAAAAATTATTCATATAGCCGTAATTAAAGCGGAGTTCCCTAGCAAACTCATGTGGTCAAAGGAGATTGGAGCTTTGATGGAAAAACCACCAAGTCTTACTTTCGAAACTTGAAAGGTCACGCCCAGAGGCGTATGGAGAGGTAAGGAAGTCGGGGAATATTACGAAACACCTACTTAATTCTAAGCTATGGTTTATTCAACATGTAATAATAATGATCGACTGGTTCCAACATAGAACTCTATACAGAAGTGCAGCAGTTTGAGTTGTCACACCCTATAAAGCACACCAAGCCAGGGAGGGTAACGAGACGTTCAAAAGAGAGAATAATAAATAGAAGTGGGTGGGAAAAAGAATACTAATGTGAAAGAACAATATTTTTATGTAATGATAATTATTATCCTATGTAATAGCAGTTTTTCTTAGGCAACTGAAAGAAACAACTTAGGAGGGGACAGTGGTAATTATGTAAGTTCACGGTAGACGTTAAATGTCACGTTCTAGAACAGCTGTTAAAATTTCACTTGGAAATTTTTTTTTGTCAATAACTTTCAATAAAATTGTGTTATATGTTACCTGGATTGATGGGAATTCCCATTTTCTGGCCAGTTATTTTGGTGTCCGCGTCATGTAATCTGACAGCGACACCCCGTATCATATCAGATTCAGATTCAGATTTATTGGTTTAGGATAGAAGGCTTGGAGCCTATTTTAATCCTTTTCTAGTAAATTTCTGTGGTTGTCCAAACCCTTCTTGAACGAATCAACTGAGGTTGCAGACACCACTTCTTCTGGGAGTCGGTTCCAAGAGTTTATGACTCGGTGTGAGAACCAGTACTCAACAGCAATATGATTTCTTCTTGGCTTTTGAACTCTCCTGCTATGTCCTCTAAGGTGTTCCGACCTGGTGGGAAGGAAAAGAGAAAATAGGTCAGGTCCGTAGTCATTATTTAAAATTTTAAACATTGTGATTAAATCTCCTCTCTGCCTACGGTATGACAAGAAGAAGAGATTTAAACTGTCTAGTCTATCCTCGTATGATAAGTTAGTCATGCCATGAATCATACGTGTTGCTTTCCTTTGAACCCTTTCTAGAATAAGTGAGTCCCCTTTTAGACAAGGGCTGGCGGCCTGGATGCAGTTTTCCAGTCTTGACCTCACCAGAGATGTATATAAGGAGGTGAACATATCTCTGGTGATTCTAGTGAAGGCTCTACGAATTGCCCATAATGACCTGAAACTACGTGCAGCCACCGCGCGACAGTGTGCTGTAGTTTTTAAGTCATGGCTAACTATGACACCTAAGTCCAAGTAAGTCTGAACTGATGGAAGTGTAATTCCCTCTAGTTCATAAGAGCTCGTGCTTGCTTGTCCAATGCGCATGGTTGCACATTTTGTCACGTTTATCGGGAGCATCCATTCTATGGACCACTCTGACAATTTGTTGAGGTCCTCTTGCAACGTGGACGTGTCACTGTTGCCCTTCAGCTCTCTCCAAATTTTTAAGTCATCTGCGTATAGGACCATAGGGGAATCGGTGAGCAGAGATAACTCATTGATATACAAAATAAATAGGAGAGGTCCAAGTACCGTGCCTTGTGGCACTCCGCTGCGTACTGCTGTCCAAGAGGAGAGTTTCGAGTTGATCCTAACCCTCTGCCTCTTATCTATGAGGAATTCCCTGAGCCAGTTTAGTAAGCTGCCTTTGATACCAAGACTTTCTAACTTCATGAGTAGTCTTTTGTGAGGTACTTTATCAAAGGCTTTGCTGAAGTCTATGAAGACGATGTCAACGGGTCTTCTGTTGTCCCTGGATTTAACCCAGCTTTCTCTTGCAGTGAGAAGATTTGACAGGCATGAGAGGTTCCTTCGGAAGCCATGCTGTGCTCTTGATAATAAGCTTCTATTTTCTAGATATGCCATTATGCTTTTCTTGATGATTCTCTCCAGTGTCTTAATTAGAGTGCTGGTGAGACTGATAGGCCTGTAATTTGAAGGGCTTTGTCTTGATCCTTCTTTGTGGATGGAGGTTACTATGGCGTCTTTCCAGTCACGCGGTAACACTCCATTTCGGAGAGAAAGCTTGAAGATCGTAGTCAAAGGGCCGGCTATGTGTGCTGACAACTCCTTGAGAAGCCTTGGGTGAAGATTATCAGGACCCATTGATTTCCCTGCATCTAGTTTCCTTAGGCAGTTGAGCACGATGCCTTGGTCGATGTCAACGGAATCTATCCTATGTTTTTCTGATGCAGCCAGAGCTGATCCTGTAGGCAGTGACGACTCCTGAGTGAAGACTTGGAAGAAGTAGTTTGCCATTGCTTCTGCTTTTTCTTGATCTTCTTCGATTGTATCATTGTCAATAGTCAGGTTTGGGACACCATTGGATGTTTTTTTCCTGAAGTTCATGTACGAGAAAATTTTCTTAGGTTGTGCCTTTGCATTTTGAGCCAGGTGTGCTTCGAATTTCATCCTTGATTTGCGGATTTCTGCAATAGCTTTATTTCTAGCAGTGTTATATAATTGCCTGGTCTCAGAAGTCTCAAGTGTGGCAAACAAGTTCCAACATTTGTGTTTACGTCTAAGTAACTTACGAATCTCTCGGTTTATCCAAGGAGGGCAGTGTTTCCGACCCTTTAGGACAGACCAAGGGATGAAAGGTTTAGTTACTTGGGCGTAAAGTTGTTTAAATTGGTTCCATGCGGCTTCTACTTGAGACTCTGGGTTGATGTACCAGTTTACTGAGTTGGCTGCTGAGACGATTGCATTTATATCAGCTTTCCAAACGTTTGGTCGAGATGGGGTTTTGGCCCTTGCTGCCGTTGCTGTGAACTTGAAAGTGAGCACACCATGGTCACTTCTTCCTAAAGGAGGAAGATGTTGTATGAGATCTACATCCTCACCATGGGAGAACACTAGGTCCAGAGTTGAGGAGGAGTGCTGTGAGTCATAGCGCGTGGGCTTGCTGATATGTTGGACTAGAGCTAACGATATACTAGATTCCAGCAGTTTATAATCAAAGGAGTTGACTGAGGATGGAGTTGTTAGGCTCGTCCAGTCAACTGTTGGGGCATTGAAGTCGCCAACTACGAGACTTCGACATTTCGAGGTCCAGGAGCCTAGCTTCTCTATCAGGAAGTCATCTGCACTGCAGTTAGGACTGCGGTACATAGCAATGAGGTCAATGTCCTGACTTATGCATTTAAGTCAGCAGCGTAGAAGTTCACACGACTCACTTTCGTGAGCGAGTGCTTCGATACTACGCACGGTTAAGCATTTCTTGAGGTAAATGACTACGCCACCTCCTTTGCGGTTTAGTCGGTCCACCCTATGCACTTCGAAGTTTGGCAGGTTAACTTCGCTGTCAGTGACATCGGGTGTGAGCCATGTCTCTGTGATAATAATTACATACGGGTTTCCGGAGTCTATCATGTTAACCAGCTCAGTCCGTTTATTTAACAGGCTGCGGGCGTTTGTGTAGCAAACTGTTAATCCAGTTTGGTGCTTCCCCGGCCTACCCACAGAGGTTTCGGGATCATTAAACTGCGAACTTGAACAACCCGAAAACCCTTAATCTTAAGGTTCTTTTCGCCGTTTCGGCGTCGTTCGCTTAATTCTAGGGCCGCAGACTTCCTTTTGACACGGTCTGCCAGGCTTAAGTCGGCGCGGACATATATGCCTGATCCTTTAAGTATATGAGAGTTGCTTAGAATAGCATCCCTCTCTTCTTTAGAGTTTAGTACGACTTTGAGGAGACGTACAGGCTGACTTACTGTAGGGTCAGGCTTTTGGCCTATTCTATATACACTGTGTATAGTGATGCCTGATACTGTTTGTGGCAGTAGCTTGTCTAAATGGGGCTTAACCAAGTTAAGGTCATGCTCAAATCTAGTCTTGGGTTCGGAGGCCAATGACTCTTCCACTTTGTGGAGAATGAGCGACCTGTCAGAGAGATCAGGTTTGCTTGCCGTGATTTTCTTGCTCTGCAGCGTGAATGTCTTCCTGTCCTTCGTGGGCAGTGTGGCCAATGTATTGTCCTTATCTCGCGTTTTGCGAGAGACTACGTTACGCCATTCATTGGCGTTCTCCTCACTAGTCGTAGCAGGATTTATCTGCCTGCTACTCACCGATGTGGACGAGGCTTGATCCACTAGTACCTGGGTGACTTGAGTTGCGGGTTTACGACCCCTGGTACGCCTCTTCTTTGTGGCAGTCTTTCCGTTACTGTCACTGGAGGGCTTATCCAGTATCGTGGGGGCAGCCTGGGTGACTGGAATGTGGTGAGTGCTCTTCTGTGCTGAAGGGCACTCAGTCATTGACAAAGACTCATTAGGAACATGTACTGTTCTGTCGATGACGCTAGTCGCATCTTCGGTGTCTGAGAAGTAGTTAGTCTTCTCCTGTGATGGAAGACCCTTGCAGTCCATGAGCTTTAAAGCCCCGCTAAGAGTGGCAATGGCTTCTGTAATACGGAGTTTGGTAGTACTACAACAGTCATTACACAACCAGTTTTCTAGTGGTTTACAGCAGCGTTTGTATGCTGCAGGAGTTAGGTTTGTGCACATACTGTGAAACCATCTCTTGCAGTTATCACACTGCATTCCCTCGTCCACTGGGAATTGCACATAACCCTTCCACAGCGGTTTTTTTGATGGGCATACTGTCTAGAACAGACTGGCGAAGAAATTTAAATATAACTTAGATGTATATAGACCTTTATAAGTCAGCGATAAAAATCAATGAGTGCACAAAAATATATATAACTATTATGTTATTAAAAAAACAATTTCCTATAATTTAAATAGACTCAGATTTGAAAAATAAACTAACTTTGATCAGAATAAACTGATTTACAGTTAATCTGTAGACTTTTGGAGCGTATAACACAACAAAAGCGTGTAAAATTCACTCCCTTTTCAAAGTTTGCAACGATCAGTGTTTCAGGCGAACTGTAGCAAAATATCGCTATAATGAGAAAGATGGGATAGTTGAAAGGTAATGTCATCTACACAAATAGTCTAATTTATTTAGATGCTGCACCTTTCGGCATGGTATCATTCAATGGATATTAATTCAGCCTATTTTCGTGTGAAGAAGAGTCCTTTTTGACAAAAGAATTCTATCAGTACTTGGAAATCACCTGTAAATGCTAACAGAACCTTCTGTGGGAATAGAAGTAATCATGTAGATGTGTCTCACCGTATGTGTGTTTGGACAGGAATTATCGTAAGTTGAGAGGTTATTTCTAAGTGTATTTCATGTATATTTGCACTGTTTGGTGTAGCGTAATAAGAGTTATATGGACTCAATGCATAAAAATATCTCAA